AATGATGCATGCGACTGAATCGAAGAAATGATTAAAATACCCCCACCCCTAAAAAAATCAGAATATTGTAAACTTCAAATTGATCAAAGTAACCTCGAATACTGAAATGACCTAAGTGTTGTATCGCCCCTTAAAATTTGGAGCTTGACCAATGCACGTCAGCTATTTTGGATACTATTACAATTCATAAATAAATTAAACACCACCAAAATACATGTTCGTCTTCTAAAGATCTATTCAATGTTGATTCTAAGAGAGATTCGTTCAACTGGTGTAGTCAATATTAAGAAGTTAATATACGTGAAACGTGCCAGCCCGAATGATTGACAAGTGTTGTAGTGTTAGAATCTAGTTAGTTCGACTTGACTCAAAGTTGATATTTTGTTATAAATTCTAAAAACTGTAAACCATCTGTTGACCTTTCTTGGGTTAAATCGTTAAGGATTCTTTAAGGATCAGAATGTTCGAAATGCCCTTAATGGCTTGAATAATGGGATCACTCTTATTATGTTTGGATCTTAAATAACTATGATATAAAGGTTCTTGAATACATTCCTAATACACTTGAAACTTAAATGGTCATGAAATATAAATTTTTGAATGTTGATTAGATCTGTTATTTAATGAACTCCTTAATAGGTACCTCGATTCTGAAATCTGACTAATCTACAGAAATCCCACGTTTTTCCTCCCCTGATAACTACCAAATGCCTCTGAAAAATATATGGACCCTCTAGTGTGTTTCTTGTGTGCTATATTTATCTGTTTTAACTGATTTTGAAAGCATGATTATTTTTACCGATTTCTCTGAGTTCTGATTATATTTATCTAAAATTTCTTATTATCTGGTACCTGTTTTCTGGATTACTATTGTTTTAGGTTTGATTATGATCTCCTGATTTTACATGTGCTATATGAAACTGTTTTATTGGGGTACTGTCTAGGTAGCTGTTTGGAGACTCTGAGGTTCAATTAGCTGGTAATTACTTTTTTTTTTGATCATTCATATTGGACTCCTAGATCCTAGGGGTCTAGGGTAAGTCCTTATGGATGCCTATTCTAGTGATTTACAATTAGTGTACGTTTAGAGGGTAACTCTGTGTTTTAAATAAAAACTCAATCTTTGATTTATGTTTTCTGATATATAATATATATGACTCCCGATATCTGATATTACTAGTTACTGTTAAATTGATTTATAATGGGGTATTGATTGGGTAGGATTCTAGAGGCTCTGAGGTTCAGCTAGCTGGTAATTCCTTTTTGTTCTAATCATTCATATTGGAATCCTAGATCCTAGGGTAAGTCCTTATGGATGCATGTTTTGAGGAATTTCATATGGTGTGTTCGGGTGGAGGATATTACAGTGATTTTAAAAACATGTTTCCTGAAATAAACTACTATTGTTTTTTAAAATATTTTCAATTATGGGAACACACTAGACATCTATGTTCAATCTCTTGATCCTACCTATTACATGAAGAAATATCAATGGAACCTCAGCTCATCACGAAAACCTATGGATGCATATGTAACACCCTATACTAGTACGACACACAGTCGACCGATGAGAGCGCCACACGGAACCACTAGAGTGGCTAACCAAAATTTTTCTTCAACATACTAAATGGAAACATTTATTCATTCGAAAAATGTTTGTAATAAATTAAACGTTAACATTTATTTTAAATGTTAACGTTATTTAAATAAATTATTTAGAAGCTCCTAATAATAATAAAAAAATATACAGACTGTTATTTAAATAAATCATGACTTAAATATACAAAATAGGGATTTCAAATATACATTTCCTCTAAGAATTTGAGACGTACTCTGCTCTGTGGCTGGTCTGGATCACTTATGATCAAAAGGTTCTTCTATTGCCCCTTACATAATTTGCGTAAGGAAACAAATTCCAAATGCTGAGCTAACTAGCCCAATGCCACACTAACAACTAAAACATACTAAAAGGGGTACAATAACTTGTTTATACAACTGATAAAATAATATAGTGAGTATACTCGCATACTCACTCTCTATGCTATGGTAGACATCATGGTGCGATTGAGGAATTTCTACATCTTGGAGCTCATGCACCCCTCTAGTCTACTGATGATGTGCCCCTATAATCTTTGCATCGGACGCCACATCCTCAACTAACCCACCCCTTGCGAGTGTTGGACCTTGCCTCCTAGCTAGTCAGTTTAAAATGCCTTGCGCACTCCCTAAGGATATCCGGACTGATTCTATACTTCGATACCCTGAACTAAAGGAACTTAGGTGTCTGAATCGTTTCCCGAGCATCAACCAAGGCTAGTATTACGTCGCCCTAATTATTTTAGTTTCTACGTTTGATTATTCATAATTAATGTTCTCATTTGTATTCTTAATTAAGAGTAATTAGTGATTATTGGGAACCTCACTAGCCTTTACAATTCCTCAAATTTTATAGTCCAAACAACTCTTTGGTATCGATATTGACCATACAATATCGATACCTCATAACAAAACTCTATTGTTTTAAAAGGGGAAATATTGATACTCATATGGGGAGTATCGATACTTGAACCTTGGGTAGCGATACTCCCTTGAGTACCAATACCAAAATGGTATTCTAGAATATAGGTTTCGATACCAAGCATTCTGGTTTCGATATCGATCCCTTAATATCTATACTCCTTAAAGGGGTATCGATATTGCACTCATAACATTCAAAATTTTAAGCTTGAACAGTATCGGTATTGATCCTTCCAGTACCGATACATTTACTCAAAATTGTCTTATTTGGGCACTTAAACTCACTCACATTGCTACCTAGAGGTTCCCAAATGTTCTTAGTGTCTTATGTAATCATGTAGGATCATAAATAAGGCTTTGGACATGTTTATACTTCAAAACATGGAATCTACCATTGTTATGCTCACCAAGATTTAATCTAAACTTTTATGCTATCATGAATTACAAATGACCTACTAAAAAATATGGTAGAGTTGTAAGTGTGATTACCTTGAATTCTTTCCTGCTAAATTTTCCCCAAGTTAACTGGGAGTCACTTTGTCTTTTCCTTTTACTTTGGAACTCTCTCCTACCTCTTTCACTAAATAAGGTAGAGAATGGTTCATTAACTCAACTAAATGTTCAAAACAATATAATTTTACTCCTTATAATTCAAATCTTCCCAAAAAGAGTTAGAATCCTTAGATTCCCATAAACCCCACAAAAACCCATTTTTGGTTTCCAAGGCTAAAACTTACAATGTGGAGCTTAAATTAAAGCTAGAAGAATGATGATTAACAATCTTACCTTAGTTAAATCAAACTAGACTTGGATTGCATGATATATAGCTTTTGGAAAGGAATTAGAAGAGAAGAAAATGGAAGGAAGAAGAAGAGGAATTTGGTAAGATATTATGGGGTTTCACGTAAACCATATAAAAAATAAGGGGGTTTCAACTTTCAAAATAAAGAATGGGTAAACTACACTTTAAGTCCCTACACTTTCCAAATCATAAAATTATCATCACATTTCATAATTCTTTTGGGCCCAACTCAGCTCAATTCCAAATAAACTTGATCCAAACTATTTTAATAAATCTTTTGGGCTCTAAAATAGATCTCGGGTTAACCCAAACTACTGACTTGGGTTTCGAGGCATTACAACATGAATCAATAAGAAAATTTTATGCTTGTCATTTATCTGCATGTCCTTTAGCATCATCTGGTAGTTCTGTATTACTGAGCTTCCCAAAGCTCACTCTTTTACTCACTATTTCAGGTCAATAGAATCAATCCAGTGCAGCTATCGACATCAGTAATGAGAGTTCTTTCGACGTTGCCTGCGGAGTACAATACATGTATAATTAGGGGACATGTAGATCACATTGTTTTTATACTGAGTCTGAAACTTTTTATGATAAGATGTATGAATGAATTATGTTTTTAATATATGTATGATTTTCTACACTTGTGTTTTTATTTATAAATTGTTTTACGATTTTTAAATGACTTTAATAGAAATTTTAATCTTTTCCCTATTTTTATGATAGGTTGCTCCGGTGGCCTAATATGACACATCAAATCAGATCATGTCACTCGCATCGGTTTGAGGGGATACTATTACATTCAATTCATCCATATAATTAAAACTAAAAGTCAGTTATTACAAATTACAAATAAACAATTTGATAATCAAAATACATTTAAATTTAAATCAGAATAAAATATAAAAAAATATACATAAAACAAAAGTTATACTAAAATAAAATCTAAACTGAAAATCAATAAATATAACAACAAATTCAAAAGGTCCCTGATTCAAAAGGTAGTTCTTAACTGCAATATCCAAATTGCCAAAATTCATTTGTTGGATATCTGATTATTTTAGCCAGATTAAAATACTAATATATATTTCAATTTTCTAAATCATTTAAATGTACGAATTGTACCAGCAGAGAGTTCTATGCCTGACCAATAATAATATATGATTTTGATAATTACACAAACTTTAACTCGATAAAGAATGTGATATAATACCTTTTAATTTAATTCAATTATATACATATGGTTAAATTGTTCATATTTAATAAAAATAAATAAATAATCTATTTTCATATTGTTCTAAATAATTCCTACCTCATGGAGGAGGAAGAAAATTTTGCTCCTAATAAATATTAAGCCCATAATTTAAAGGAGATGATCACCTACTCTGGAAATTGTTGACAATCTATTTTCATGTTAAATATAATTTTTATTTGTATAATAAATAAACCTAAGATGATGTCACGTTAGTTTTAATATTAAAAATATGTTATGCTATTACTCCACGTGTTATGTTCTTGTATTCTAATTTTGTACATCAACACCAAATTCTAATTTATGCATATGGTTATACTACATAAAAAAAATTCTCATATCACATTACATATTAAATCAAAATTTATGCTAATTTTGTGTAAAATTAATAACAAAAAGACCTTAAATTTCCAGAACCACTGATCATGATTAAAGAAAGAATAACGAATATCATCGACTGTGTTTTCTTAAATGTCCCAAATACAGATCAACCCAAAATTCCAACAGCAACATACTTGGCTGCCGACTGACTAAGCCACAAGCACAAAATATTCTGTACAAACTAAACCTACAGTCCTCTACATTCAGATGTGAGATAATAAAAGAAAACCCTAATTTCCTAATATATATATTCCATATACTACTGCTTACTAGTAATTTGGTGTTGTATTGAATATCACAGGCAAAGGCAACCATGCTAGTCGACTGTATTCATTCTTCATCTTCTAAACTTTCATGGATATAATTGAGACGTTAACAAACTTCATCGGTAAAACTAGAAACTGCAACTTTCTATGCAACTTTAATATGTTTCTTGCTGTGAAGATCCATCACAAGATCCCGCAGCTCGGGGAAAATTGATATGATTGCAAGTTCTAATATCGCATAAGCAAGTTGCTTGGTGCATATAGTTGACTGCAATGGTTAATGACAGTGTAAATGTAATCGGAAAGCAAAAGGAAATTAGGGAACATGTGCACAGAATAAAATGGCAGAAGGATAAAAACTGAACCTGAGTGAAAAAATAAATGTCTCTTGCACACCGTCTGTATTGCTTTTGCCCAATCAAGCTAACTAAGGCTGTTGGAGCTCCATCTGACAAAAAAAGATTGCTCTTAGAGGTTTTCATAATTAATTAAGTTATTGCTCTAGGTAAAATACATATGAAACATGTTTAACAAATTTCACAACACAAACTGTGATATGAAAACGTGTGTAACGAATTTCACAACACAAACTATCACAGTGAACATTTTATGGTATCCTAGACACAGGGCTTCAGGAACTTTAGATGGAAATATAATCATTGAACTCCAGGCCGAGGAATTAGATTATTTGAAGCAATAATCAAGATTCAAGTGCATTGCAAGCATGTGAACCACAGATCCAAAAATAGGGAAGGTCTCCACTATGATCTGACCAGAAAAAAAAACTTACCAAAAAGCATATTTTTTATGTTGTTGGCTCTACGAGAAGCCTCAAGTTGTTCTTCAAAGGACCAAGGTTTATTGACATTACTCCCACCAAATTGGCTGATGCTTTGCAAAGGTGTCTTGTGTGGCTGAGTAGTATCCAAATGAATGTCCACTGTTTTTGTAAAGAATGTACCACCTGGCCACAGAACCTGGGAGAAAAACAGGGTGTTAAAAGAAACCGAATACAGGGGGGTTTACAAAACAGAAAGCCATCTCTTAATGAAAAAACTCATGTTTTTACAGAAGCAAATGCTGATCCAGTTCACACTCAAATTTAAGTTCACAATGAGGCTAATTTGTTCAGCTCTTACATCTTGAATCCATCGAATCCCTTGGGAAATAGTATCCTCCCTCTGAAGCCAATAAATCTGCCTCAAAAGCCAGTCATCGATGGCATCCTCCATCACCAGGTGTAAAATTTGCCTCGATATCCAAAAGACCTGTCTTCTGCATCCATGAAAAAGTGCACATGTTTATGTCCAATTATTCTGAAAATAAGTAATTTTAGAACATCAAAGAAGACCATTAAAGTTTAACAGGATCACATGGTTTGAAAGAAGAAAAAGGCTTGAAGCATATATCATTGATGGCAGTAGACTAATGCCTCTTAACCCATGCTAGGTTAGTTTTTCATCATGTGACCTGTTTCAGAACTTCAACAAAGTAGCAACTAGACACAAGGCTACCTTATCATAAGAGATTGAACAGAAAGCTCAAGATGTTGTCTTAATTGTTAGTTTCGAGATAGGTAATCAACTCACCACATCAACCAATCCTATGCTTGGAAATAGCAATGTACACTACTTGAATGTATGGTGCCCTTTAATAGTCAACCTAGACTAAGGTGACCGCCTAAGTTACTAATTAATCAAGATGACAGGTAAACAAACACTAGAAAAAAAATACAAGGTACAATATTATGTTTAGGATAATCTTTATAACTGCCACATGGAAGAATACAGCATTTTAGCAACCACAATAATGCAAATAAGGAAAAACTAACTCACCTTAGCCAGCCTCTTCTCTTAAGCTGAAACACCTTATCAACTAGATTCAGCAAAGGTACACTCACCTTAGGAGGGGTCCACTGCACAAAAATCAATTGGTAAACATTCAAAAATTCCAAAAAGTGGAAAAGAACGCTCTTGTAAAATCGTGTATGCTTAAAAAAAGCTGAAACTATTCAACCAAAAGATCATTAAGAATAGAAATGGGTCAAAGCCAGATAGACACAAAGGAAAGGGTTGCGGCAGCTAGAGAATAGGTGAAACCAACCAAGAAACTTGATTTCCTAATAATCATACTTTTGCTTGGGATTCTTATGAAAGCAATCCAAAATTTTATTGACAAAGGAGAGTGCACTCAAAAGAAAACAACAGAGATAAATCATGATACCTCAGGGGGCACTCCAACTGGATCCTCCATATGGCTTGAGGTTCCTAAAAGTTTCATTGAAGAACCAACCTGGCCAGACAATTCAGGTTTAACACCTAAATTATGTTTCTCGGAGACTAAATTACCAATCTGGGAACCAGATCTATCATCCTCGCGACTATGGCTAGCGTCTTTGATATCACCTTCTTCATTATCAGAAGCACTATTTTCCGTATCCAAGTTACTCTGCCTTGAAATATCTTTAGCAATCTCATCTTTGGTCCAAGACAAGGTCCTGCCAGTGACCGAGGAAGAGGCTTCACTAAGGAGAGAAGATGAACCGACAACTTTGCTCATTCTGCCGTCTGATACTCCTCTAAATTGACGTACAATATCATCCGTAGCATCATCCACATTGACTGTTCATAAACAAGAGAATTGGAAATGGTCAAGGAGTAACCGGGATAAAACAGTTAAATGTATGAAAAAATGGCATGACAACTAGAAACAGAAACAACTTACCTGCAAGGGTTCTCATTACTGATGAAGATTTTCCAAAAGAGTAGTTCTTCAAAAGCAAATGACAGCCACAATTAGAATGAGATGTCATTCATCTTAATTCCTAAACATAAAAATCAAAATGGCACCCAATGTGATGTGAAGAAGGTACACACCTTTGAGGAAACACTTAAAAAGTCCCACACTTCATGTTGTTCAGCCACATTAGCTATAGACAACAGATCCTGCAAAAAGGCAGGTTAATTGAAGCACATGTTGAAAGTAAACATCCTAAAAAAGAAAAAGGTTAGGAAGTAAATTACTTCCAGATACTTGTCAAGCTGAATGCACCGTTGGTGAACAAAATTGTCCTCCGTGCTTGATGAAAATATCCTTTTGGGAGGCAAGTGTAATGTATAATTAGGAATTTCTTTAAGATGTCGATGCAACCGTTCAAAGTTTCTGTATCTGCAGATAAAAAGAAAAAAAAAATAATGTTAGAGAAGAAAAATCAAATTATTATAGCTTTTCCATTATTCCATTGTAAGTAAAGGGCCCTTAATTAATGGGTTTTTCATTTAAAAAATATACATTTATATAGGAAGGGTGAGGCAAAACCTTCTCTTAACAAACCAAGTTCTGTTTTCTGCATCTGTCACAGCAATTGAATAAACTGCAAAAGATTTTGATCCAAGTTTCTCAACATATGCTCCAATAACCTGCAGATATAGAAAGGAATAGCAAATATAATTATAGATCACATAAAATGTCTATGCTACAATTCAACACTGCCAAGCATATGAAGCTTCTGTAATTTCTACTCCATGTCATTTCTGGATTCAGTTGGCACTTCAAATCTCAAATTCACAAAACTAACAGCAATATAGACAAGAATGCTCACCCGACACCTAAGCTTGGGTATATAAGGCTCCTCATTGCGAAGTACTGCATTTGAGGTAATCCTACCCCTAGATCCTTCACTATGCCTTCCAAAATCAGGGCTGTAGAACTCAGAAATAATTGGCTTGCGAATATCTCCTGTAAATGCCTTCTTTGTATCAGGTTCAACAATAAAACCGGAGGAACTACTGCATCTCTTAAGCCGACTTTTATTTCCGTCAGGGGATTGCTCACTAGCATCATTAAAATTGTTAACATGATGGTCTCCACCTAATAACGGTGAGGTTTTAAATTCTGAAGCCAACTTTGTGCCTGCTGTGTTACCATCACATAAATGAGCATCAAGATTTAAACCAGGCATTAGCTGCATCACAGTTCTCTCTTCACTTCCAGTAGAAGTTCCAACCTTGTTGGTAGAGATCTCACTTCCCATATTCCCCGTCAACCAAGCACCCTTAGGAAGAGATTCCTGAAATCTTGCTTTTATATATTTGTTCTCCTTCTTTTTGTAGTTTCTTCCTTTTGACCACATGTTTTCAAGATTTTCAGGGGCAAGAACTTCAGTTCTTCTCTGTGTTGCTGCCTCTAATTTTCGAGCCCAACCAGCTGGTCGAGGCTGCATCGATTCTCCCTCATATCTGTTACAATCTGAATACATTTCTTTCTGATCATCAATTCTAGCCAACGTCAAATCAGTTCCCTGACTATCTAAGGATTCAACTTTGTATGAGGTAGAGTCATCAGAACGTACTTCAACTGTAGAATCATCAAAACCTTTCATCACCTTGATCATATCATCTTTAATGGCAAGTAGAACAAATTCAATTACTTCATTGATATACCTGACAACAGAACATAAGTAAAAAAGAAGGATAGAATAAGGCATATTTGTAAAGGCAAGCATCATATCTTATACCAAGGAAGAGTGGACCATCATGAATATCCTTTTAAACACTCTCTTCTTTTGCCTACAATGAGCCAGAGTAAGACTCTAACAAAGAAACCACTCTAGTTGTATAATGTCATTCCATGCCGGATGGCCAGTATTATAATAGTTCCACTATTTTAAAAACCAAATAAACACTAAATAAGAGTGCATTTCGAAATCAACTGTCAAAATTCTTAACCTAAAAGTTTAGGCTAAACTATCTAAACAGAACTGTAGTTTTGAATTAAGTACTAATTGCTTTTTCTGCTACCTTAAAATTAAACAAACAATAAACTATAGCTCAATAACCTACCTGGGGCTTGCCAAATTCAAAAGAGGTTGCATAACCAAGCAAGTAACAATCTCACGAGCAATAGTGCGAACCAAAGGACATTGAGCTTCTCGTGGTCTTAATAGTACAGCTAAAACTCCACCAATAAGTCGTTGAATAACCTGAAAAATGGAAGTACAAGGAGTTAAACAAAAGCAAACCACAAAAATTTAAAGGCAAAACATTATTATTGTTGGAACACTCAACTCACACCTTGTACTCACTCTCTGGTGAAATTAATGCAGGGTGAAGCACTTCAGAATCCATAAGATGGTGTTTCAATCTTTCATCCCTTTCTTCAGATGACAATGTTACCATAACATCAACACCTATTGCAGCTTGGTTTCTTCTAAAAAGATCCAAGTGATCCCCTATCAAATCAACTATATCCCTGGAACATTAGACAACTGTTTCAAAACTGGAAAAAGATCTTTTACAATTGACAAACCTTCTTAAACTAAAAAACCTACCTTGTCAGCAAATCAACAAGGTTTATCTCTTTCGCCCTTCCAGATATTTCACCGAGCGCGTCCAAAATCACATCGCGCATCAACTCAGGGGCCTCCCTATCTGGAGTAATCTCCGAATACCATAAATCAAGAACAAAATCCCTAAGTATTTTATCAATAATCTCATTTAAAGCAGCCTCCACCATAGGAGAACCGATTTTCCTCTTCCACTTGAGCGGGAATGGTGAGCTGGAAAGACGGGAATCATTCACGGACAACTGTTTCTTCTCCAAATGAGACAAGTAAGTCGGATGACGAACTGATTTAACTTTCCATTTGAACTCAACCTCATTAACCATAAATCGCAGTCCAGCGGCAAAAAGAATTGCTATGGGTAAATTCATCCACATTGAAGTACTCGTATCTACAACCATTAACAGAAGCAAGAAAATTATTTAAAATCAATTCTATGAACTTCGATTTATTAATTAATATAAATGTAAAAGCTAATAATTAATTTTATTCAAATTAAATAGGGATACCCTAAAGAACTTAAAAAAAACAATTCTAAGAATAAAAAGTATCCATGCAAAGTAAAATCAAGGAATTCGCCGAAAAAAAATATTTTAAAGAACAAAATTAAACAGCTAAAAATTAGAAAAACTGACGTAGAACAAATAATTATTATTGGAACCATATTAATTAACTTACGAGTCAAGAAGTAAGTTACGGTAAAGGTAGCCAGCGCCCACCAAACCGTCTGTACTTTAGCTTCTTCAATCAGATCCTGTATCGTCTCCATCGGCTTCATTTTCTAGCTTCTTTTCTCCCTTCGATTTTTTTTTTTTCAAATTCGCGGAATTCAAATTCTTAATTTTCCAGAACTTTCAATTCTTTCTTAATATGCAAGATAAAACAAAATCTCCGGAAAATGATTGAATCTTTTCTTCGATCAGATTCCAGCAGGGTTTAATTTGGAATTAGTCGCGTCGAAAAAAATTTGCATAACATGGGAAAATGAAAATGAGGGTATCTGGAATTTGTTTTTATTTTACTAAACAAATCTGTAAAAGAAAAGAAGGGTAAAGTATACAAAAGGTCCTCCGATTATAGGATGCACTTTTTTAGTCTCTCACCAATAAAAGATATAAAATAGTCCTTCAATTATAAGGTGTTATTTTGTTGAGTCTCTTAGCTATTAAAAATTATAAAATGATCATATGATTGTTTATATGTTCCAAACTAGTTTTTTTTTTGTTAAAAATTTGATAATCTTAAAAGGTGGACTTTAAATTGTTGACTGAAATATGATAAAATCATATTCTATCATATCTCAGTAAACATGTTAACATCTAGTTTAGACGATCGTCATTTCTTACCCGAAAAAGACGAGTTTGAACATATGAATATGTTAAGTGACCATTTTGTAACTTTTAATAGTCGGAGACTCAATAAAATAATATCCATTATAATTGTTGTCCAAAATATACCAATTGGATGCCTTGGCTTAATGGTTTGGCTCTAGCTATTTTAGCCAAGCAACTAGGGTTTTAATCCTTATCTCCGCTTCAATTGGTGATTTATTTTCTTTCAAGAGGATGACATATGCCACCCTTTGATTGGAGGAAAATAAATCTATTAAATTAAATATAAATTTAGTTCACTAATGACACATGACACGTCTTGATTATGGGGTTAAATTTATTTTAACTTATTAAAATTAGGATTAAATTGAAATAATATATAAATAATAGGGACCAATTTTGTAATTATACTGAAATATTTTAACTATCACGTCACCTCCTCCGTTAAATGTTAACGACAAGTAGTTTGATTGAAGTATTTAAATATTTGGGTGGTTTGATTGATCAAATCGAAATATTGGTGCTTAAAATGATTTTTTACCATAATTGAATGGTCACCCGTGTAGTTTATCCCATAAAAAATAATGTAGTTAATACCCTTCTCTCACATAGGTTATGTTCGGGTGCGGATATAAGACATTACACTATTTTCCACCGACAATAAACTAGCCTGTAGACTCCTATCACGTAGTAGATTTGACACATGTTTTTTCTCCTTCTAAATTTTGATATTATTTCCTCGAGATATATTAGTTTTCACATGATAACGCTAAGTTTACGTTGTCATACAACTCCAAGTGGATATAATAAAACTTAGGTGAGGCAAATTTGAATATTATTAGTATGAATTATCTATTATATATATATATATATATTAAGTTTCAAAATTCTGTCCACATAATTATTCCTACTAGAATGTTTGGAGCTTTACGCGTTCGAGAGATTAGATATAATCTCTGTTACATCAAACTACATTATAGGATAAGTATGGATTTAGGGTAAGTTATACTATTGATCACTTAATTATTTAAATTTTTTATTTTTACCATCTATCTTTTAATTTTGTCAAGCCACTTACTGTTAATATTTAACAAAATAGGAGACGTGACAGTTAAATATTTTGATATAATCATTCATATGATTATTGATATTTACATATTCTCTCAATTTAGTCTTATAATTAATAAATTAAAATAAATTTAATAATTGAATCAAATGATACCATATGTCACTATTCACTCTTTGGTTTCGAGAAATTAAATCATGCAAAATTAAGATATATTTTAAGATTGACAACATCTTTTATCTTTATTTAAAAATATTTTAAAAATATATTTTATTTAAATTTTAACTTATTTTTTTGAATTGAAAAGAAGCAGATTATATTAAGCTCTCGGATATGGCGGACTATGTAAGTCATGAATCAACTGATCTCTGAGAAGATGGAGTAACTGCGTGTAAGACGGTGCCACCGACAGGTGAATATACAACTCTTATGAGTGTGTCCGCAGCTAGGTTTGTTTCACGGGGGATCCATTGGAGTTGTGTTTCCCACTTTCTTTGCCGGAAAAGAACAATTATACGAACCAAGGGTTGGACATTAGACGCATTAGCATCGACCTGCTCAATAATCTTGATAGCTTCGAGACTGTCGGACTGGATGATAACCTTGTTGTAGTGGTGATTCCAGACGAAATTCAAACCAGTTGCAATGCCGCAAAGCTTGGCATAAAGTGGCGTACAATGGCCAGTGAATCGAGTGTAGCCTAGGATCCATCCTCCATTGCTGTCGTGGAACAACCCAATGACAAAGCTATCTCCTATTACTTTAGATATTGCCCCATCACAATTTACACAAAATCCAACCTAGGGGGGCCTCTCCCATTGAATGAGTCGAGGCAAAGCTGGGGTTCGAGGCAGTTTCGGTGTAAAAGCTGCTGCGAAATGTCTTGCCCAAAAAAGAACAACATGGAACATGGAATCCATTAAGCTGCAATCCTGATTAAAAACAAATGAGTTCTTCCTTTTCCAAGAGCAGTTTAAGCCATCCAAAATAAAGGTTCGTGTCAGGTTGCTATACAACCACTCTTCAAGGTTTTGGTTGAAAAAAAAACAACACTAATTCGATAGAACGATACGTCGCCAGAGCTGTTTAGTTTCACGATAATCACGAAAACATAGAGAATCGATTTAGTTTATCCAAAAACACTACAGGTTGGGTCCAAAGTGAGGTGTCTCCTTGATCGTTCAAGATTTGTCATGATTTACTGATAGAGTGTTACCCATATAAAGATTCTTATATGTTGTGGGAGAGAGAGATTCCATATGAATGTCCAAAGGGAGTTACGATTGAACCATGAGGAGGTTGTTATGGCCTCGTAAGCCGAAGTGACGAAAAACTTGTTTCTCGATCCCCATTTCCACATACAAACATCATTACCATCCGAGGCTTGTGGCGGCAAGAGCCAAACAATGTGGTTAACTGTCGTGCATCAAGTAAGGAATTTAATAAAGAGACATTTCATAAGGAATTTAACAACGTGGACAAAGTTGCGTTTGAAGTCGCGAAGAGAGCCCAGGCTGGGAAGCCAAATATCATCCTAGAATTGTATAACGGGTCCATTCTAGATTAACCAAGTCATATTAGAGCGAAAAAGGCACCATAGATTGTAGAGTGAGCGCTATAGAGGAGAGAATGAGGACCGATAAATTGTGTAGGGAAATAGATCAGTTACCTTGTATTTTTGGCATAAAATTTGAATCCAGAAAACATTCGGCGTAGTAACCATGGCTAAACAGATATTCATTCGCCCCAAATGAAGTGCCTTATCAGCTTTTCTATTTCCTTGTAGACACCAACCAGGAGCATGACTGTTTGCATGAAGTATATTGGGATTGAGGCAAGAACTGATTTAGCCAGAGTGAGGCGTCCGGCTAATGAAAGGGTGCGAGCAGCCCATCAATGCAAAAATCTACGCATTTTCTCCAATATAAAGACATTGTTAGATTGGTGGATCTGACCATGCTACACCGAACACCTAGATATTTGCCAAGATTATCAACTTGTTGGAAGCCTAAGCATTCACAAATAACATTATTCATTGTAATAATTGTGTTAGGCTAGAAGAAAATTATCGTTTTCCTCTCGTTAACACTAAGTCTGAAGTATTGGCCAAAGCAAGATAACACAGAGTTGATGACATCAGCATTAGGGAGGTCCGCTCTTGCATAAAGGATCATGTCGTCTGTGAAGAAAAGGTTCGAGAGGGGAGTTCTATTCAGAGTAAAGCGGAAAGCTTCCAAAATTCCATTAGTAACATTTTTAGAGATATGGTGGCCTAAACGCTCCATTGTTAGGACAAAAAGATAAGGGGAGAGAGGGTCCTCTCGGTGAATGTCACGCTTCAGTATGAAGGAATCAGTGAGAGAGTCATTCCATTGAACCTGAAATGAGGATGTTGTAATGTAGTGCATAATGATGCAAGATAAATTTGGAGGGAAACCTGCTTCAGATAGAGTGTCCTTGATGAAATCCCAGCGGATTCGGTCAAAGGCCTTTTCAAGATCCACCTTGATGGCCATACATCCTTTATTGCTCTTAGATTTATGCATTGAATAAGTTGCCTCCTGATTCAAGATGATGTTTTTCGTTATTGATCGACCAACTATAAAGCTTGTCTGAGTAGGAGAGATAAGAGTTGGCAGGATAAGTTATAGGCTGTACACAATGACTTTTGTAAAAAGCTTGTAGACTACGATGCATAAACTGATTGATCAAAATTCACAATACGACTTAGGGGTATCCACCTTTGGGATAAGAACAATTATCATTTTGTTCAAATCCGGATCAAGACTGCCACCATTAAAGACCGTTTGAATACAATTGCAGACTGAAACACCAATGATGGACCAATGTTTTGAAAGAACTCGACGTGAAGGCCATCATGTTCGGGGCCTTTAAAGGGGCCATATCATCTAAAGCTGCTTTAATTTTATTCGGTGCAGGTACCATATCAAGGGATGCTCGGGCACTCGATGAAATAAGAGGGAAACAACCCGTGGAAAGGTATGAACCACCAACCCTCTCCTAACAAGAGAAAAGGGATTTAAAATGCACTATTACCTCATTTTATAGAGCAGATTAATTATCCGTCCACTCGCCATTGACTTTTAAAGAGAGGATCCAGTTTCTTTGTTTGCGAGCTTTTGCTTTGCAGTGAAAGTAGGAGGTGTTATGGTCACAAAATTTAATCCAATCATCTCTAGATCACTGTCGCCAAATGAGCTCCTCCTGGTCAAGGATCAATTCAAGTTCGCTAAGAAGCTTAGATTCAAGGTCTCGAGGCAAAGAGGAGTTGCGAACATGTAACGGACATTGTATTCCCTGATTCTGGTCATGACATTTTTCTTTTTAGAGCCAATGTAGCCAAAAATCAATTTGTTCCAATTCTCGACTGCCTTAGTAAAATTTTCTATGGAAGCTGATAAAGTACAATCATCACGCCAATTCTCTTTAACCATCCGATTGAAATCACCATAAAGCTGCCACCTAGAAAAATAACAGAATTACTTGGGTCCAGAGCTCTTCGAAATGTTACCCACTTGAAGCATGATAAGACGGTGGTCGAAC